AGCTCTCGCCGTCTCCCGGAGCGAAGGGGTTAAGAAGCTCTTAACCCTAACAGTCCCAAATCCTCCGATTTCTCCCTACAGCAGTGTGGGAGGAGTCCTCAATGGTCACTACATATGCATGTTTCCCTAGTGCTCAATTGCTATTCGCTAAATAATCTATCACCCATAGTGCGTCCCCCATCGGTCCACCCCAGGCGTGGTCGCCGCCATGTTCGTCCTTCTTTTTCTTAGCGCTTTTGGATCCAGCCTCACACCTATCCACTGTCTGGTATCCTAACCTACATGTATGTCATCACACTAATGCGATCAAATCTCCTCTGAATAAACACAGTCACTACATCACATGTGGCACCACTTGAATGGTCTGGTGTCTTTGTGCCATTTTTTGGCCAGTTGTGAACAACGCAGTTGGTGCTGGTCAGCTCATACGTTAGTTGCAAGACCTGGGGCTAAAGTACGTCGACAGATTCCTGAATTCTTGAGAACACCGTGCCAATGCTCTATTCAAATTTGCCTCGCTATTAGGTCAAGACCACCTCCAAATACGTTATAATGTTGAGGCAAAACAACAAAATGGTCTTGCATCTCGGTGCTAGAGTTACCCATTGAGAATAATGTCACTCGTGGTGAGTCATTGCTTATATTACTGTACAAGGAACCTGAGCTAAATTATTGAAGCAGAATCCTTGGGATTTCTAAGAATGCCAGGCCAACGTCTTATTCTAATTTGCTTCATTATTAGGTCAAAGGTCACTGCCAATGGGACATGTGACCTGTCACCACAAAATGAGCTGAAAGTCAGAATTTTCAAAAATTGAAATATTTGGTATATTTGATTCAGCAAGAGAGAGCTTTCCAATGCTATGTATTTGGAACACTTAGAGTAAACGTATGAGATAACAATGTGACATAATTTTGTCAGCTTTGCGTCTTTGTTCCTGACATTGTTTCCATATTTCTGACAAGGCACGAATAATGCAATAGTCAAAACTGCTGAGAAAACGACATTGTAAAATATATGATCCTGCTAAATATTTGGCATTAAAATGGGAGACAACTTACTCTTTTCAAATATTGCAGTGCCCCAGAATTGACCTCCATTTCAATATGAGTTTAAACCCTCAATATAGAAAAGAGCAGAATGCGACTTTCCGCTCATTTTGTTGTGACGGGTCACATGGTTAAGGGTAAATCTCAAAATGGTGACTCTTGTAACCTTGAGAGTTGGGACAAAGGATATTGTCTGTCGTCTTCCTCCTCCTTGGCCTCGCGTTTGCTCTTTCTCGCCTCCTCCTTCCTGACGTCCTCCTTCCGCCCGTCCTCTCCACCGCGTGATTCCCGCTTGGAGGACTTCTCCTCTTCACCTCGCCCCTCCTTGCGGGACTTGGAGCTGCTGCGTTCTCGCTCTTTGGGGGTATCCTGCAAAGGCATTTGTCACAGATTCATACCACAATAGTCCTATTCCCAATGTGGAACATTCTGGAAATGTCTGTGGACAACGAGCTGGACCAAGAGAGGGCACTATTTTCTAAGCAACAGAGGCTCCTTTGGTCTGTAACCACCTTGGCTAGGAAATGCACGTTTCTTGGTCACATCGCTACCTATACAGTTCTTTTCAATCGAGGGGAGGGGCTTCTGCTGGAGGCCGATGGCCTATTTCTGTTACCCCAACCCTCCTGAGATCTGTCAAAATGAGAGGAGAATCTTTGAAATCCTTAAAATGTTGAATCCTCCATCCTCACACCACCCCTTTCCTTAATGCAGCACAATTTGGGACGTGATCCACAAAGAGGCAACAAATTGTAAAATACTGACCCCAAAAAAACTATGGGTGGTTGAACATTCACATCCAACATCACTCAAAGTAACACCCACAACTTCTTGCAGGCACCACAAAAAATACCACCCCTCCAAAAAAAGGTGAAAGCATTTACAGCTGAGCAATGGACTTGCTGAAAGCGTCCTTTCTTGTTTGTAGTACGGCCCACCAATTAGTGCAATGTGACAACCACATGCTGTTCAAACGGTTTCCCCCGGCCACTGGAGGTTTTTGAGCCAACGAGATCAAGCTCAAACCCAGCGCTTTCTCCTCCAGCACTTTGGGAAATCTTTCTCGTACCTTCTTGGCGCCGGACGACCGCTCCCCGTTGACCGTGGCGTCTCCTGAGCTGGTGGGCCGACTGCTACTGGTCTTGGGAGTCTTCTGCCGATCCCTCTCCTCCCGTGCGCTGGGAGAAGACGAGGACTTCCTCCCACCTGTGAAATTTAAACAAGGATTCGCTGAAATACTCATGTGCAAATGCGAAGTGCCACAGAGAAAAACAGAACTTTTGAGCGGTACAAGACCTTCTGCAAGATTTTCCCAACAGGTAACTGCATGTGTAGGAATTTAAAAAAAAGAGGAAATTTGCTGATCCTAAGAAAGTTGCTTGCCTTCAAATTAGGGGTGTAACAATACCACTTTCTCACAATGCGATACGTATCGCGATACTTGGGTCGCGATAAGATACATATCGTAAAAACAAAGAAGCCAGTAAGACGAAAGCCACTTTAAAACGATTCACTAGGTAACTCACCAATGGTCACTCACCAATAGTAACTTACCAATGGTAACTCACCAATGGTCACTCACCAATAGTAACTTACCAATGGTAACTCACCAATGGTCACTCACCAATAGTAACTTACCAATGGTAACTCACCAATGGTCACTCACCAATAGTAACTTACCAATGGTAACTCACCAATGGTCACTCACCAATAGTAACTTACCAATGGTAAGCTTATAGGTGATGAGGGCAAGAAGCTTCTGCGTGGTGAGTCATAAAATTAAACTGAACTGCATTTATATCTCTGAGTGTTTCTGATTTATTAACATTAGGCCAAACAAATAATAGCTATGCTTCCCATTACATTGAAAAAAAAAAACGGTTGGGTAGGTTGGTAGTATCTTTTTTTTTGTCGAAAGTTTTTGGGTCAAAAGTTCCAGACTCAGAAATCTTTTTTTTTTAAAAGTGGCGTTGATGGTCTGCAGTGTATTCCATCCACATTTTTTCTGCGGATTCGTAACTTCAGGATCAGTCCTGTCAAAGATTGTAGACAAGTCAGAGCCTCTTCAGACAATTATACATTTGTGTCGCAGTGGCATTTCGATAAGTTAATATCCAAAAATTGTTTGAAAGCTCATACAAAACGTTGCACACATAATGCATGACACAACTTTGCGCGCCCCACACCAGTTCTCCCTAAACCCTCCATCGGCGAAAGTGAGAATGTACTTATCTAATTTCAAGTCGTAAATTCACAGTGAAATGTGCGCTACTGCAAGTAACAATGGAGATTGTTATTCACTACTTCCGCTCATACACAGACGGCTGTAAAGAGTCCCACTGACACAGGTATGAATATTGATGCTTCATTGACAAACCAATCACAACACAATGACCGGATGGTCCCAAGATGCTGTTTACACACACGGCTTATGTTCGCGCTTTGAGCCTAGCTGTACATGTACATGTGCGCATGTGTAGATTCATTCTAGTCATGTGCATTACGGAGCTCCAGTAGATACCACTTCGTAGAAAAATTGACGCTTACGTAAGGAAGAAAAACTTCTCTAAACCTGATAAACTGGTGTGGTTTAACAAATGAAAGGATGAAGTCCGATATGCATCCCATATTCTCATGACAACGACATCGGTGTGAAGGTTTGGCCGCGCCGTCACTTTTGCATTCTATTGCCAGGTACGTCATGTACATTCGGCGAGTTTTCCGTGATTCAGTCAAACTATTTCTTGCAAGAGTATTCAGTACAGGCAACATTAAAAATATAAAGCTATAAATTTTAACTTTTTTAGACCTCATTTTATTTTCTACTTACTGCACAGTTTGTCTTAATCCCCCCCCCAAATATTGCGATTCACATTTTTGTATCGCGATACCATACCGTGGCATTTTAGAATCGCGATCATCGATGCATCGGTGAATCGTTACACCCCTACTTCAAATAGATTCTAAAACAAACATCTTTGATCCAACGATAACCACATTTTTGATGTATTGATAAATACTTAATAAATGAATAAAATATAGCAATGTTTTTACAAACTGTGAGAAAGAGGCTGTCCCTGTTTTGCCCGGTGTCAAAAACTAGGACATCTGAATAGGTTTTCCCAAATTACACGAGCAAATAACCTTGTCCAGTGACTTAGCACTCATATAATGAATAGAAATGGCTTACATAAACCATATGCAGAATATGAACAAATATCCGTGTTAAGTTGAAGGACGTTGGAAGGGGGAACATTGAAAAATAAGGCCATAAAAGAGATTGACAGTTGAAAGTAACCAAATGACCAAAATGTTGATTTTATCCACTTTATTCATGAAAAACGTCACAACCATGTCATTTATCAGAAAACAAGTTGACGACTGAGATGTAAAAACATCAAAGAAACTTCTAAGATTTTTCCATCGTCTCTATATCAAAAAGCCCAAACATACAGCCTCTTTCTACCAAAAGCTTGTGTATCTTATCAACTCATCTGGGCAGTCTCATCCCCTTTGGTTCACAATGTCTACCTGACTCTTCGTCTTTCCTCCTCTTGGATTCGTGGCCCCCATCTCGCTCCCCTTCCGAGTGCTCGCGTTTCTTCTCTCCCGTCTTCTTCTCCTTGTCCCGTCGGCTCTCCCTGTCTCTCTCGCCGCGGTCGTACGAGTCCCTTTCCGCATCCCTGCCCTTCTCTTGTGTCTGCTGCCAGTCAAAGTTGGAAGGAATTAAAGTGCCAAGAGGATGATATTTTTCCTCGGGGGGGGGGGAATCCTTGCAGTGTATATGTGGATTAACTCTCTTTCACCCATGAACCTTTCTCTATGACGTTTTGAGAGTGTTTCATGACCTTTCAAGAGTATTCTGGTTTTCATGAAAGCAGATAGGGTCTGCTCTTTTGAAGTCACAGTCGTGTTTTCCCTACAAGTAGATGCGAAATCTATGGCTTGCCATCAAAATAAAAGTAAAAAAGTAAATCACAAAGTGTCGAAAAACCCACACAGCTATCAGAACACCACATAATAATACATGTACCACTTAAGATGAAAATACAACCCTATTGGAAAGTTAGTGGGACAAACATCAATTTTGAGCGAATTAGAGGTAAAATAGAAAACCAACCAAAAGGTGATATTTCTGCAAACTTTGGCTGCCCATACAAGTTGTAAGCAAAATGAGAGTGGTCTGCTGGCAGGAATGTCAGATTATGCAACATTTTCCAAATTATGACCACCACAGTATAAAACATAATGTTGCCACTATCCCACCAGTCGAGTGGATCGATTGGGGGGAAAATTCAAGCAAACCCTGTTCAGTACAGCGAGTAGAAGATGAGGTTCACTTTATGTAGGCAGTGTCTAAATGATACAGCGACTCTAACTGGTATCACAGCAAGAGCGCCATCTGGTGTCGAAAAACAACACAGCCAGTAAAAGGTACTTTTTAGATGTAATTAAGTCACAAAATCACAGAGAGAATTTTTGTTGCTGCTTTTCAATCAATTCAAGGAGGTGGACATGTCGTCAAAACGTTAATGTTTGAAATTGAATGGACCCTTTCATCAAGAGTGAACACGCTATGCTGTCAGTAACAATTAAGAAGGTGATTACTTATGACAGATTCACTTACAGTGGAGGTGTTGGGAGACTGGTGGCCTACCTTGCGCCGTTTATGCTCTGCAACGATTTGAAAAGAAAACAGAAACAAATTTGTGCGGAATGAAAAACATGAACATGTTTCTGAAAAGGAAGCAAAATGCTTGCTTTAAACAGAGTGAGGTTTGAAAATATGACGAACTCACAAATCCAATCCAAGGTAGCCAAGTAGAATTAAACACCACTATCGGTGGAATGAATTTGTCAAAATTTTGAACTGGATAACCTCTGACCCACTCCTTCCAGAGGCCTCCAGTCCAGGAGACACTTTCGGCAACCCTACCCGAAAGGATGCACGGCTTGAACTGGAGGCTACGCTCCGTGCTCTGAAGCCTCCCTCAACAACCACAATTTTCTGAAGTTTGAAACTGGGTGTGCGTGGAACCCATGACTTACCCCTTTCGGTGGTAGCCTCCCTTCCAGGTGACACCCGGCGCGACCCGGCCCCCGAGGAGGCCTGGCTGGAGTTGGAGGCTATGCTCTCCCCCCGCTGCAGCCGCTCGCTGCTGCTGCGCTTGTCTTCCCGCGCGTCCACTTCCACGCCGGACGTCCGCTTGGACTTGTGGGTCTTGTCTTGGCCTTGCTCAGCAGAGGGCACTCTCTTCTCTTGCCTGTACACACAAGATGGCAACGACAAATACAACACTGGCCCTCCTCACAAGTATTGACTATGACAAATGACACAATGTCATTTCTAATTGTTTGCTCTAATGCACAACGTAACATCATGCTTCCCTTTTCATTCATTTGTTTTTTTCAAACTTTTGTCTTAATTTCTCTGAACTTGTCAAACTCAAATGTAAATGGTCTAAGAGAAAATGCATGCCTCGCATGCCCATTCCACACTGATGTGCCTGGCCAGTCCAATGGCACCCTTCCTCTTTTACCTGCCCTCATCACGGTCCCCACGATTTCCCTTTCTCCTCGTTGGCCACCCTCTCGCATTCTTTGCTGCTGCTCTCACCAGAGTCCCCCTAAAACTTTTATAACCCCGTCCCACTCCAGCTTGACACGCTTGCCAAATCCAACCACATCCCTCCCTCTAAACCTGTCCTTATCACTTCCTGTAATTTCTTCACCAGTCTTGGGCATCCTCTCTAGTTCTTCACCTCTGTTTTTCCTTGACTCCTTCCAAATCCCTTACCCCGCCTACCCCTACCCGGCACCCAGCCCCACCTAAATCACACCCTCACCTGTCTTCACAGTCACTATATTCCTTTTTATGCCACTTTTGGGCATCTTTGCCAGCTCTTTTGCTGGCCTCTCAAGACTTTTCCCGTCCCTAACCTCGACCACCGCCCACCCCGACGCCACCACCCCATCAAAACACACCCTTCCTCCTTACCTGTCCTTTTCATAGTCCCTGTGTTTCCCTTCTTCGCTTCTCTTGGGCGTCTTCACCAGCTCTTTTGCTGGCCTCTCTAAAGACTTTTCTCCGGTCCTTAACCTCGACCACCGCCCACCCCGACGCCACCACCCCACCCAAACACACCCTTCCTCCTTACCTGTCCTTTTCATAGTCCCTGTGTTTCCCTTCTTCGCTGCTCTTGGGCGTCTTCTCCAGCTCTTTGCTGCCGCTCTTTCGCGACTCCTTCTTCACCTCCTCCGACGAGCTCTTCTCCGACCTCAGCGTCTTCTCCTCCTTCCTGCGCACTTTGTCCTTGTGGTTCTTGCCCTTGTCCTCCTTCTGACCTTTGTCCTCGCCATGAACTTTGGCCTCCTTCGTGACCTTCTCCTCCTTCCTCTCCTCGGATCTGCCAATGAAAGCAAAATGCAAAAGGGGCATGTCACTGATTCCTGTTTTGTTTATTTTGGGAAAAGGACAAGAAATAACTCCTATCAATGTCTTATAGCATCCAAAGAATAAATACTTGCCAAACCAATACCAAGCCAGGCACAGACCAACAGGACACTGACACTTTCACAGTATACATCGACTATATAATAGTGTTCAAATATGAACACATACATATGGCATAGTTAATAGTATATTTACTTGGTTTTACTGTTTCACAGTTGAGTATTTAGCATTGCTGCTAGCTTCGTTGTATACTTTGTTGTAATCTCTAAATCTGTATAGAAGGAACCATGTGGGTGTAAATTCTCCAAAAAACACTGGAGACAGACCTTGGTTCTGCCTTGACGACTACAGGGCTACTGCTGGCAGAGTTAGAGGACTTCTTGACTGGTGCGGTGGGGTGGTTGCTGGACGGTCTGGTTCCTGATGGTTTTTCTTGAGAGGCCACTGAGGATTCCTTCCCTGTGCCGAGGAGCAAAACACACAGACAGGTTCCCTGGTCAACAATGGGAGGCACTGCGCAGCCCACGTCAGAGCTAAGGTCGCACATCCAAATCTGCCTGGCTATCAGCAATGGCACGTGCGGCTGAGAGAAATGAGCAAAGCTGCCGACTGACAGCTTCCACAGGTGTGTACGCGATGTCAAATCACAGCCCAACAAATTTGGACATGGCTGAAAACAAGGGGATTTCCCTGTGAACCGCTCACTGCACACCGGGGGAATAGTCCACATTTCAACTCATTTCAACAGAAAGTTTTAGGTGGACACTGGACAGAAGTGAAACACTTCAAAAACTGCACGAGGACAAAAATGGAGCACCTGTGGCGGCTGAAGAGTCGGCTCTGTCGGCAGAGGTTGCTGGGCTTGCTGTGGGCGTGGCTGAGGGCTGGGCTGAGGCTTTCTTCGAAGTGGCCGCAGAGGTGGGTTGGGCCTTGGTGTCTTTGGAGTGAAACTGGTCCTCAGCGATCATGTGTGGCTTACGGGCCTTCAGCAGACCGGAGTAACTGCACCAAACAGTACAAAAAAATATCGCACACCAAATTTCAACATCTAGAAGGCTCCTGAAGACTTGGCAGGTGAAAAAAAAATGTATCGCAACAGTATTGGAAAAAATGCAGGGGGGGTTTAGATTTCATCCCCAACCAGCTCTTTTAGGGTTTAGATTCAACAGAAGTACTTCACAAGAGAAGCTGGTTGGCAAATTTACGTGCAAAGTAAAATCAGCGGGGAACCAGTTGCAAGGACTATCCAGCGTTTGACACGTTGACAGGTAACCAAGTTTACTAAGCTAATAATTGCTGTGCTAAGTACATTTCTCGTCTTGGTATGTACATGACATTGGTCTCTGTTCTCAGGCCTATTCAGCTTGCTCATGAGTGTTAAGCGAAGACTGTTAAAAAATCTAACCACAGAGTGCAGATTTGATAAATGCTACAGATTAACAAAAACTGCCGCTGTCAGTTGAGCTGCGTACCCCATGGCCAGAGCAAAGAGGTCCGGTCGCTTGTCTTTCTCCTCCAATCGGATCTTGTCCACCCGCTTCTCCAGCACTGCACTAAGGTTCAGCACGAGCGGAAAGAACGTCAGAATCTGCAAGATGAAGACAGAAATCAAAGAATTACATTTGGCCAGGGAAATCAGACTTCCGTTGTACGGTTTCAGAGCTTCATCAACACTAAAGATCTTCCCAATTTCTTAGTTCAAGCTGAAACTAGCTGGCAATTTAAAAGTGTGTGCACAACAGCACAGGGAAACTCTATGCAGGGCCAAAGAAATTGTACAAACTCAGAAGATGTTGATAAATTTTCTGACAGAGAAATATTGAAACTATCATTATTTCCACAACCTCTGTACATATCTTTGTGATCAAGTATACACCGACTGCTTGTCTGGTAGTTTAAAAGTTCACCTGAATTCCCTAAGTGGGAAGAGTCTGCAATATATTACAATTACATTACTAAATCCATTGTGAAACAGTTGAATGTGGGAGGAGATATAAATAGTCAGATACCTTTGTCAGAAGAATCAGCGTGTTCCTGATCTGGGTGTAGTCCTTGGACTCTAGACATGACACAACCGCCTACAAAAACAGACAACATGAAAATGTGGAGTAATTTTCTCTTGAAGTTTAGACACTGAACTTGTTTGACGAAATGTTATTATTATGGATTCCTACAAGCTTTGAAAAGAGTTTCCCAAATCCATCATTCCAACACATGCAGGCAGTGTGCATTAGGACAGTCCCTTAAAAGTGCTATGAATAGCTTGTCTAATGATTCAATCTAGGAAGTGTAGAGGGCAGTGTGGCCTACAAGCTTGGGCCAAAGTAAGGGCATGCTGCTCATGCACACCGGCATCCACTTGTCTAATTCAAGCTCCACAAGGATACATCACAAAGAAGTGGGATGAATTTTCAATTGAATATGTACAACCAGTATCGGATTTGCATGTAATGAATATGCATGGCAGATGTGATGATTACCCTCTGGAAGGGAAACCTGTTCAAGAGGTCCAGGGGATCGTGAAGTTGGAAACTGGAACTGACCTTGGTGAGTTTGTACTGCCACTTGTGACAGACGTGCCTGAAGTTCTCGTAGTCCAGCTGGTCTGCCTTGTTACTGGACTCGGTCCCGCTGGCTCTTAGCACAGTCACAAAGCCAGGGTAGTTACCACATTCCTGAAAATCCCCCCCAAAATTGGTTTAAACAATGGCACACAACAAACCCAAACACAATATAAAAAATATTTCTCATAGCCTTTTTATGAACCCTTGGACTTGTTTTTTAATTCTAGGAGAGAGCCAATGACCCTCAATGCTAAATTTTATCACTCAGCTGTGATGTGGCCAAGAGACTATGATGGACAATAAAGAGAACCTGAATTTCAGTGATCACACAGAAATCCCAGACAATTCATTTTTGGGCTACATGTCAAACATCAAACCAACGTTACGGACTTCTGACACTTCTCAAAATGTGACACAGCTCACTTTGACTTATCTTCAAAAACACAAAACAAGTTTTTAGGACAAGAAAAATCTGTCTGCAAACCTAAACCACATGGACACGTTCTAAACTTTGGCTTCAATTTTTTCTGTGACACTTCTGAGGTTTTTGAAGCAGGAAACTGAACACCGAAGACAAAGCAGGGATTTGGAAAACCCCTTGTGCAGTGGCTGTAAGTCTAGTCCCCTGTCTACCTTCTCATAGATGACCTTGTCACTGTGCCATCTCTGGACAGTCTTCAGCATTTCACAAAGGAAGCGACCATACCGGCTGGCCTCATTCTCCGTACAGCTGGCCAAGGTATAGGTGATGTCTTGAAACACCTGCACAATTTTAGCCACAACAACAGAAAATGACTAAGTCAGTCTTTGACACTGAACAAAGCTACTTTCCAAGTGATGACTTACTTCACGTTTCAGAGGCCCAAATTTAATGAAGAACTTTGTCATTCTTAAATGTTAATTTTGTTTCAACTAATTTGAAAAATTACTATTTTTCATAGCAATGTGCAAGATGTTGTGCAAGGTGATGTTTACATGTCTGCAACTACCTCCAACAATCTGTTTGGAAATATTTACGTACAGGGTTGCAAAACACAAACAAAAATACAAACAAACCCAGAAGATTCATGACCGCATGAACTTGATGCTGGCATTCAAAATGTTCCTGACTATAACCTTGCTCATTAGGCCATCAGTTCGTTCCGACTTGCCGTCATTCGGCAAACCCCGTCTTGTCTCCTGCTATCATAACCTGTTACCCATTCCTTGGTGTAAATCAATATTGTGGTAAAATGTCTTGCCCAAGGACACAAACACAAAAATCCCAATTCCAGCACAAATGACAATTTTGAGCGCGAAAACACATCTGATAATTTTCACAAGGCAAAAATACCCTGACTGTTTCTCACTAACTACTCACCCTATCATAGCAGAGTAACGTGGAGAAGTTTTGGGTCTTGAGCTGGTGCACGGTAAGGACAAACCTGGCGCAGTACAGGGCGTCGCTGGCCGTGAAGCAGCAGCGGGGGAAGATGCACAGCTGCAGGAACTGGGTGATGGTCTCGTTCTTGGTGGACCCTGGTGGAGACACGGATTCAACCTATGAAGTGTCTGCAAAGTGCTCACAGACATTTGTCTAATGCCTGTCGCCTTCTTTAGTTCCGGCCAATTTTGAATGGACCAGTTCACCGATCTACTCTAAGCAGAGGTACTCCCACACCAGCAAAGCACGGACAGAACTTGGTGGGGATGACTTCAACTGCACCGGTGCAGCACGAAAGCCATTCATATCCACTGAAATCGGTAGTGTTTGCTCAGCGCAGCCTGCGCCAAGCATGCAAAGTGTGCGCGCAGTGTGTCCTGATCAAAGGGATGGAGCTCGTAAGCCTGAAACCACTTCAGTTTGGTTGAATAACTGATCCACCCAGTTTGATGAGAGTCAAGGAGTAATTCAGCACGAACACCGTGGAACAAAACGAGACCTTGTCCTGTCAGTGATGGCTAGACTTAGTCTAATAGATAATCTACAACCAGCTATATTGGTCACACAGCTGGATGCTAACAGCTACGTGCATTGCAACACAGAGCTGGGAGACAGGCGTGTTGTCTGAATCATACCAAACTGACAGTAACAATGCCCGCAATTGTTTTTCTAAATGTACTAAAATAAAAGACCACACGGTTACCACATGGAAATGAAATAAAATGCTGGTTTGATACGCACTCGCAGTGAACCAGTTTTCACATTCACTCTTGAGCCTTGCCAGTACCCGACTGCAGTGCTCTGCTTGTTTCTTCTCTTCGTCTCGCAGCTTGTCCATGATCATGTTGTGACGCTCACGCTCCTTTTTACGTTTAGTCGAAACCTGATTAAAACAGGACAAAAATTGGCACTCTCTAGCTCCATACTTATTCACCACAAAAAGAACGGTCTTCAAAAAATGAAACTTGATAAATTCCATGTCGACATTCAGGGCCAGTGGGATGGTCATAACCACTGTGCACATTTCAGCTATATTTTAGGCCGGCAAAATGAGACTTTGGCAGGTCAAGTCATGCATTATTTTGAAGTAAAACTGCCATCTTTGATTCTCCTTTGATATCAGAGAAACGGTCACGTAATACAATCACAGGAATGACCAACATCATGTTACTCTGAAGAGTGGCAATAGACATCTTGGGTTGAAAGAGAGGCTAAACTGGCAAGCTTTATCAACTAGCATGGGTTCTAAAACAATGGCTTAACACTGCATGCATTCATAACACAAAAGAGCCTTTGTTTTTTTGCAAGGGCAACCTCACTTTCACTCCAATAAGGTTACTCTGCACATTACGTTCATTCAGCCATGCTGCCCTTGCCCGTTCAAGTATCAAATGAAGATTAAGGGAACGACATGTGACTTAGTAAGTTAGTGCCCTGGCCAATAGCCACCGGCCAATGAAAATATTTCTGAACTGAAAAATACGGCCTCACCATATCTTTGTTGTCCTCTAGGCTGTTGACCTGGGCGCGGATCTTGTTGACCTCCTTATCATAGCTAATGCTGGGGACGTAGAGATCGTACATGGACAGGGTCCAGAAGGTGCAGTAGAACTGAGGACTGATGTATCAAAAAAAAACTAAACAGTCACATCACAGCCCGAGTTTCAAAGATCAAGGTTCCATTTTAGGCAAAAAAAAAACCTAAACCAAACGCTCAAACAAAGGGTTAATTTGACCAAGTCATGGTTTCCTTAAAATGAACAATCCTGATCTAATTCCAGACTTGTTCTTATCAACTTCAAATTTCTCTGGCCGATGGGAGTGGGGCACGTTCACCAAAACTGCAAAGGGTGAGCATCTCCTATAGGGACCAAGAGCCACTGTACCTGGGCCCTTCACAGCCTTTAAACAAGTCCACACTCACTGCATACCTGATGTCATCCCACACTTTGGGTATGTGCAGCGCCCGTACGCTCTCAACCAACGAGGCTAATACGGTATGCACGGCGGTGACATAACATTGCATCTTCTGTAGGCTGCTCAACTTCTGGCTGTTGTTGGCCGATCGCTCCTGCTTGCGCAGCTCGTCAAATTTAGACTGTTAGCGAGGTGAAAAACACAAAAAGCGGAAGTAATTTACAAATCACTCCCCCTTCACACTCAAAGTGATGTAGAGTCAAACCTCATTTATAAAACATCCTTTGGACTCTGTAGATTACCTTGTTATAAGAGGAACCTTTATAATCAAGAATAAAAATAAATAACGAACAAAGGATTGTGACCTACACAATCCCTTGTTATATTAGTTGAATGTTGCATAAACAAAGCTCTCATTAAACAAGGCTCAACTGTACAAGATCTTAGGATGTCCTTCACAAAAGTCTTCAAATAGGGCACAGTAACAAAAACTGATGAGGGTTTCTCCTTTAACCCTAACCCCCAAGGGTGTATGTAAAATCTATTGAAATTGGAGGATTTGGGACTGTTAGGGTTAATAGTTATCACTACTGACCCTATCAGTCCTTATTCTATCAACTTTGAACACAACATAAATGGGGACTTAGTGTAAGGCATGATCAAACACATTGACTGGGGTTGCGTTGGAAACGGCTACTTCTACAAGGCAGAACTAAGGCTATGTCCAAGTCAACTGGTTGCGGCTAAGAGTATCACACGCGTCTATGGGAACCTGTGATAGCCGCTAGCCAATAGCTTCAGCAAGCACACATGCTTCAACCACATTTGCATACCATCTCAGTCAAGTTCCCCTAGTTAGTCCTTTTGGACAATTCACACAAAGCAACAGGGGATGGCTTTCAACCTAAAGCTTGTGGGTGACACAGAATGCCTGGTTTAAAATCATCTCTCATTCAACCGTAACTCAAACAAAATCTAAAGCATCCCCATCGTGTCCGGCGATGACTTTTCTGGACTTACGTTGATGGCATGCATGCACATGGGCCGATAGAGGAAGAAGGCACATTCTGGCGTGAGGTGGTACTCGGTGACCATGGTGGACAGGGCGGGCAGGTGCTTGGCGTAGTCCTCAGTGCCCAGCTGGTTGGCCAGAAAGTTGCCCAACTGCACCAAGGTGTCTTGACACTGAAAAGTGACAGACCGTGACGTATATTATGACCAGGCTTCGATCTTTACAGCGGCCACCAGCGGCCACTGCCGCGATGCCCCAGTGAATAGCCATGATGCCTTTTAACAACAGCGCGTACCTTTCGGCCACTTGGCCGACGTGCCCCTCTTCAATGATCAGTAGGCCTATTTTAAAGTTGTTTCAACTTTCAAGTTACCGTTTAGCGCTTGTGTTTTTGTGCACGGCCGGCTGCATCGGGCACTATTTTTTTCACAGACTCGTTTTGCAAGGCCTTGTAGACAACATGGTATAGCAACCGCATCAATGTAGGCAAGTTTTGTAATTCTAAAAACTTGGCACCAGACTACTTCTATCCATAGACTGGTTACAGGTCGCAGCACAGTATTACACATTCTGCATCGATTGGATTCTGTACATTACACATATTGAGACCGAGTCACTGATATTTTAAGATTGCGGATGGGAGTACGTGTACAACCCAAGTCTATTTTTTTCTTCGTTTCTTCGTTTCATGCGGGCACAACAGAGAGCTTCTACTGGATAAATGTTTGTGAACCAGTGACCGACTTGCTTGAATTGCACTGTTTGTGAGTAATTACATTGATTTTCAAAATACAGACAGTGTTACCTTTATGGCATCATGAAGAGTGAAAAAAAAAAGACACGACACCAAATGGTAAATTAAAGTTAGCACAGTATTAATTTTTTTTTACTTTTTACAATTTCAAGCAGTGCCACTGCTCAGCATGTGAACAGAAACAGTGAAAATTGCAGGTTGAAAGTTAAACACCATGTTGAAATTGAAGGAAAGTCTGTTAAAGTCACCAATAAGTACAAGCTCCAAAGTGGTCTTGTGCCCTTTCAGTTGGCCTTGGTGCCCTTTGGTTTTTGGGAGCCTTCGAGGCCAAGTGACACTGACCCTCTGAAGCTTAAGGTTGAAGCCTAATTATGACAAACTCACAAAGTGGCACAAATTCCTCGCGAGACATGGGATTTAAAGCAATCAACAGAGCCACCAACTGCCGAATGGTTTCAAGCCCACTGACCCACTCCCCACCCAAAGTTGAAACACGTTGATACTTTTGAGAACCTCCCGGGAACATCTGCCTTTCTAATGACTGAGGTGCCTTCTAAATAATCAAAAATATTCTTCTCAAAAGGCATGTATATTGAATTGGAATGTAGTGTTGGGTACTAGGAAAAGTAACCCTCTAATCCTCCAACTGATCTTCCACTTCCGGGGAATACAGACAGAACTAATGGGGTTTGCCGTTTGAAAGTCTGTTTTCTATGGGCACACAAAATATTTGACATGAAAGCTGGTAAAATGTTGTTCACTCAGAGACTGCATATAGTACGCAGTAGTTGTCTTTACTTGGACTTTGCATCAGAACATGAAGCAAGCAAAAATCGGATCAACTTTTACCAGTCTTGTCACACTTGGAATCCACTAGGGATTTCTGTTGGAACCGGCCAATTTCTTCTGAAGGGGGAAACATCCACTGGCTGAGCGTACCTGATCGTGAAGCTGGCCCAGCAGCTTGACGTGGCCGTCCGAGCCCCCCTTGAAGACCACGTTGAAACGCTCCTGCGACATCAGCATGCAGAGCGCCACCGCCAGGTGGTCTGTCAGCAGCGCGTCCTTCAAGCGCTGCGAGGACTTCTTGGTGTTGCGCACCTGGGAGAAGTAGCCGCCCTGGAAACAGGAGACAGGAAGAAACGAGAAGCTTGTATTAAAGTCTGCCGCTTGAAAATATGACCATAGCTTAATCGTTATAGGCATGTGATTGGGCGATCAAAAAAAGATATTTGTTATGTTTTCCACTTTGTAAGGGCATACATTGGAAGAAAAAAAATACCTGAGCACTGGAAATGGTGCTCTTCGGAGGCTAGATAATTTACCAACCTGAAATCTATCCCCATTTTTCTCCAAGCATGGATGGTTAAGGGCACTGTGCTTGGCATGGAATCAAGAGTTGCCAAGATTGCCATTTCGTTTGCTGGCTCTCGCCCCTAGTAAAAGCCAGTTCGTGCTTCGGGCAGATGCGAAAGCGAACTTGATGTCATGAAACATTGGCTGCAAAATTTGCCCTAAATGAAATGCACTCAACTTTTGCAAATTCACAGCATCATTGTTTGATCTGAGGGCACAAATCTGCTTTCACATCAGCTTAAACACCAAGCATGAACCGGCCAGCAGGTTGTAGGCAATCTTGTGTCTAGAGTTAGGTTGAGGTCTTCCTACCTCGGCACGGAGGAGCTCGCCCCCCGCCAGTGCATCCAACTGGTCAGGGGTCATCTCCTCGGTGATCTCGATGCCTGCCATCTTGACGATGATCTCCCGCAGGATCAGCAGGTCGTAGCTCTTGCCCGCCTTGAGCTGGTTGGTCACGTACTGCAGTAGGCCCGTCAGCTCGATGTTGTACTTGCGGAACATGGTGCCACAGAAACTTGCCAGACCTGAACAAAAGCCAAACCGACAGCTGATTTAACACCCTACGTTTGAGAGCGGTGGCCACTCCGGCTCATTTGGGGTTTTTGTAAGGTGGACTAGCTTTTAAGCCAATATGAAACCCAACTGTCAATTCTCTAAAACATGGTTCTGCAGCATTTTCATGGCTTCCAGACTACATGGCCCAAGCACTATGACTCCGCATTGGGCATTTGAGTACAGACCTCACCACTGCCTTGCTTCAGAGCTGGAGTTTAAAGGACACAAGAACTTCTCAGCTTAATATCCAGCATTGTAGAGGGTGTTATTATGAAATTTACAAAATTTGAGGTTTCTCCAAAAGCTTGTGAATTCAATTTGGTGTTCAAGAGAGAAGTGCAGATAAAGTGCTTAAAATATTGAAATTTGAGAGCTGTATTTTATAATATGCGCATTTCAGCGAAATGGGTTTACACATTTGGGCACTCATTATTAAGAACTTTATAAAATTTGAGGTTTCTCCAAAAACTTGTTAATTCAATTTGGTATTCAAGAGAGAAGTACAGATAAAGCGCTTAAAACATTGAAATTTCAGAGCTGTATTTTATAATACGTGCATTTCAGCGAAATTTGGGCACTCATTATTTAATCTAAGATGCCATCATATATATTTAAAATTCTTTTACAATTCTGCTGATGCCACGACTGGGACAGACTGTGACGGAGCCCCTCCTAACCACTTGCTCAGATCCAACCTGTACAACGATTCCTCATATCCACATACATGAATGACCTTTGAAAGAGCCAAAGTTTAAGCAAGCATTGCTACGACTGAATCCCACTCACTCTGTATCCACAATGACAGGTTGGTGTCGTCGTGCTTCATGCGTTCCTTCTCTGGGTTGGCTAGGGCTTCTATCACGCAGTCTGGAGAGCACAAACTCGTTAAGGAAAGCAAGCGATTGTAACAGTGTCCCAAACATACTTCAACCTTCGCTGCAGCTGTAGTTGAAAGTATCACAAGTCATCCAGTCTAAAATCACAAGCTGCGCAAATAAACAGAGACAAAATGACTGCTGTTGTGAAAGGGGCTTGTGAAGGGACTTGTGACTGGACTTGTGAAGGGACTTATGACTGGACTTGTGAAGGGACTTATGACTGGACTTGTGCCTGGACCTGTGAAGGGACTTGTGAAAGGACTTGTGAAGGGACTTATGACTGGACCTGTGAAGGGATTTTTGAATGGACTTATGATGGACTTGACTACAAGACTAGTCAGATCTTTAAAAAACGATCATTTCTCATTGCAGGTTTGAAAGGATACACGCCAGCACATCGTACGATAGTGAGGTGAGATACTTTAAGGAATCCACCACTGGGCCAATGAAGTTATCATACCGTTGGATGGTCGATAAGACCTGAAAATATCAAGTTCAAAAAAACAATACAAAGAAGAATCAGTTGTTGCCTAACTGTTTGGGTAGGTTGATGAGGACTATCCTGTATCCATCCAGTAACATCAATTTGAGAAATAAAAGCAGGAAAAGTATAACGACATTTAGAGTGATAGCAATGTTAGCAACATCGACTCCTTATTGAATTCAAATACTACTTCATTTTTTTGTCAACCAGATTTTCCACCGTGAAGTCAATCGAGCTTGAAATCAGCCTATTCTAAATACTTAAAGTGAGAAAACGGCCTTGAACATTTGAGATCAGTGTAGAAAAGAGTCAGTCTGAAACGGACACAGAACATTTTACACATCACAAGGATCGTAAATTTAATATGAACTGTAGATGAATCAGAACCCCATTGAGTAATTGACGAGGTCTTTCTTCACTCGTAACTGTCCTCAATTCTGCCTGGTTTTTTGGCAAACCACGTCACAAATTCTCCTCAATTTCCAAACATTCGTTTCCCCGGCAGGGTAACAAAATCTTACATATTCAAAGAGGATGCCGGGGTTGACATGGCTGAGCTTGCCGATCTGCCTGCCCAGCGGCTTGACGTTGTCCTTGGTCAGTCGCTTCATGATGTACTTGGCCCGGTCAGTGGTCACCGCTTTGATTCGAATCAGGGGAGGGTGGATGGCATACGTACTGTTCTTCCATCGGCCGTATAGACAGTACCTAAAAAGACAGCAGCAAACTTGTTTGGAACTGTAATACGTCACAATGATCAAAAGAAATATTAAAAATTATCCCTGAGACATATTGAACTTTGGGGGGGACTGGTAAAATGTTTAGTGAACTGGCCAAGGTGGGTTCGTCTGGTGAAGATTTGAAGAGGTGCACATTCACAATTCATCATATGTACTTACATGTCATTTATAACTGAACTCTACATTGTGCGAACGTGAAGAAACAAGGAGTATATATGAGAAGAAGACTTTACATGACTCTTGGCAAAGCAGAAAGGTCTGCGCTGTGTGTTTACAGCATAAAATACATCAAAAACTCAAAGATTAGACTTTGGCCAGTCACTTCTCTTTCAGTAAGAAGAGATCTTTTGCTCTACATAAAAACGCCAAATCCATCGAAGATCAGTAATTAATTAAATATATTATTTATCCTAACAAAGAAAGGTTTTGGAAAGTGTGTGAAGGTTTTCTCTATAGTTTTAGGAAAACACAGGATTATTAGAGACATATCATGCTTTCTGTGATGTGTCAAAGAAATTCAAACCACTGAGGCAAAACTGCCAACCAATTTTTGGCATAGATTCCTTCAAATGCCCTTTGTGAAAGAAGTCTCCCTTTGTATTTAAGACAAAGGCTGGCCCTACCTGATGTTGTAAGGCATGAGTTTCAGCAAGCTCCACATCTCCTCGGACAGGCAAGCGTTGTTGTCTAGCGTGCTCATGGAAGGCAGCAGGGTCCCTTCGATCAGCGACAGCAACTGACGGTAGACCTCCTCCTGAAAAGACAGACATATTCCAGAAAAAAGTCTGTGAATTTGGGAAAGCTACTGTCATTGCTCCTACGGCTACGGGTCAAAAATCGTTCCACACAGACTGTACCTGTTTCTTTGAGTATGGCCATTTTCACTTGAAACAACAAACTGATCAGTGTCAACAACATTTTTGTCACCATGAAAACAAAGTACTTGATTGCTGAGCATGCACAGTGCTGCTGGCGAGAAATACAGGACTGAGCCGATACTCTTCTCCAAGTGAGTTTATTAAAAAGAAAGTAGGACCTATGGCCTAATGTCCAATCTGAACAATGTAAAGACCTAAGTTGGAAAGCTTGCGGTAGCACCATGCAAGGATACGATCTCTTTGTGAGTCTGTATGGTTCTGAGTCCCTCACGGTTCTTTTCAGAACCACACAGACTCACAAAGAGATTGTATCCTTCCATGGTGCTACCGCAAGCTTTCTACCTTAGTTGTCTGTCACCATGAATAGCTTGAAATCCCAAATGTAAAGACCTATTAAGTGGACAATAACACACAGGTTTTTAATTTTTATTTTAATAATACCCTAGACTAACGTGCATTGCCCTTAGAGGGTAGAGGAATCCAAAAATGTGGTACACTTTCCCATCTGAGCACTTCTGCGAGCCAATATTGCTCTTCCATTGTGTTACCTGTCTGACAACACATTGATTTATACTTCCCACTGTAACTTTGAAACTGTGCCAC